CATTAACATCTATTTTATAAATGGGACAACTGAGGCTGAGGGGGTTTAAATAACTTATACACAGCCTGCACATCAGTCATATTCTGAGGATCGCTACTTGCTCTCTTCTCTCTGCAGAATGAGAATAGATGTCTCTGGAGTCCATAGAAAGCCCAGGGGCCTGGCTGGGTGTGGTGGCCCATGCCTATAATCCCAACAGATTGGGAGGCTGAGGCAGGCAGATCACCCCAGCTCAGGAGTTCAAGACCAGCCTGGGCAACGTGGCAAAACCCCATCTCTACTAAAAATACAAAAAATTAGCTGGGCGTGGTGACGCATGCCTCTAATCCCAGCTACTTGGGAGGCTGAGGCACAAGAATTGCTTGAGCGCAGGAGGCAGACTTTGCAGTGAGCCGAGATTATGCCAGTTCACTCCAGCCTGGGCAACAGAGCAAGACTCCATCTCAAAAACACAAACAAAGAAACAAACAAAAATAGAAAGCTCAGGGGCCACCTGCATCAGCTTCCCAGCCACACATTTTCTTGTCCTCCTCTGTCATTTTTGTTCTTTCTTTTTTTTTAATATGTTAAGCTCTAGGGTACATGTACAGAACGTGCAGGTTTGTTACATAGGTATACATGTGCCATGTAGGTTTCCTGCACCCACCAACTCGTCATTCACATTAGGCATTTTTCCTAATGCTATCCCTCCCATAGTCCCCCATCCCTGATAGGCCCTGGTGTGCAATTCTCCCCGCCCTGTGTCCAACTGTTCTTTGTTCAATTCCCACCTATCAGTGAGAAGATGCGGTGTTTGGTTTTCTGTCCTTGTGAGAACTTGCTGAAAATGAAGGATTCCAGCTTCATCCATGTGCCTGCAAAGGACATGAACTCATCCTTTTTAATGGCTGCATAGTATTTCAAGGTGTACGTGTGCCACATTTTCTTAATCCAGTCTATCATTGATGGACATTTGGGTTGGTTCCAAGTCTTTGCTATAGTGAATATTGCCACAATATACATACGTGTGCATGTGTCCTTATAGTAGCATGATTTGTGATCCAGTGGGTATATACCAGTAATGGGATGGCTGAGTCAAATGGTATTTCTAGTTCTAGCTCCTTGAGGAATCACCCCACTGTCTTCCACAACAGTTGAACTAATTTACACTCCCACCAACAAAGTAAAAGCTTTCCTATTTCTCCGCATCCTCTCCAGCATCTGTTGTTTCCTGACTTTTTAATGATCGCTATTCTAACTGGCATGAGGTGGTATCTCATTGTGGTTTTGATTTGCATTTCTCTGATGACCAGTGATGATGAGCATTTTTTCCTGTGTCTGTTGGCTGCATAAATGTCTTCTTTTGAGAAAGTTCTGTTCATATCCTTTGCCCACTTTTTGATGGGGTTGTTTTTTCTTGTAAATTTGTTTGAGTTCTTTGTAGATTCTGGATATTAGCCCTTTGTCAGAGGGATGGAATGCAAAAATTTTCTCCCATTCTGTACGGTTGCCTGTTCACTCTGATGACAGTTTCTTTTGCCATGCAGAAGCTCTTTAGTTTAATTAGATCTCATTGGTCTATTTTGGCTTTTGTTGCCATTGCTTTTGGAGTTTTAATCATGACTTCCTTGCCCATGCCTATGTCCCGAATGGTATTGCCTAGGTTTTCTTCTAGGGTTTTTATGGTTTTAGGTCTTATGTTTAAGCCTTTAATCCATCTCCAGTTAATTTTTGTGTAAGGTGTAAGGAAGGGATCCAGTTTCAGCTTTCTACATATGGCTAGTGAGTTTTCCCAGCACCATTTATTAAACAGGAAATCCTTTCCCAGTTGCTTGTTTTTGTCAGGTTTGTGAAAGATCAGATGGTTGCAGATTTGTGGTGTTTACTTCTGAGGCCTCTGTTCTGTTCCATTGGTCTATGTCTCTGTTTTGGTACCGGTATCATGCTGCTTTGATGCTGTAGCCTTATAGTATAGTTTGAGTCGGGTAGCGTGATGCCTCTAGCTTTGTTCTTTTTGCTTAGGATTGTCTTGGGTATGTGGGCTCTTTTTTGGTTCCATATGAAGTTTAAAGTAGTTTTTTTCCAATTTTGTGAGAAAGTCACTGGTAACTTGATTTGGATGGCATTGAATTTATAAATTGCCTTGGGCAGGATAGCCATTTTCATGATATTGATTCTTCCTATCCATAAACATGGAATGTGTTTCTATCTGTTTGTGTCCTCTTTTATTTCGTTGAAGAGTGGTTTGTAGTTCTCCTTGAAGAGGTCCTTCACATCCCTTGTAAGCTGGATTCCTAGGTATTTTATTCTCTTAGTAGCAATTGTGAATGGGATTTCACTCATGATTTGGCTCTCTTTCTGTTATTGGTGTATAGGAATGCTTGTGATTTTTGCACATTGATTTTGTATCCTGAGACTTTGCTGAAGTTGCTTATCAGCTTAAAAGGATTTGGGACTGAGATGATGGGGTTTTCTAAATATACAATCAAGTCATCTGCAAACAGGGACAATTTGACTTCCTCTTTTCCTAATTGAATACCCTTTATTTCTTTTTCTTGCCTGATTGCCCTGGCTAGAATTTCCAATACTATGTTGAATAAGAGTCGTGAGAGAGGGCATCCTTGTCTTGTGCTGGTTTTTCAAGGGGAATGCTTGCAGTTTTTGCCCATTCAGTATGATTTTGGCTGTGGGTTTGTCATAAATAGCTCTTACTATTTTGAGATACGTTTCATCAATACCTAGTTTGTTGATAGTTTTTAGCAGGAAGGGCTGTTGAATTTTGTCAAAGGCCTTTTCTGCATCTATTGAGATAATCATGGTTTTTTTGGTCACTGGTTCTGTTTATGTGATTGATTATGTTCATTAATTTGTGTATGTTGAGCCAGCCTTGCATTACTGGGATGAGGCCAACTTGATCGTGGTGGATAAGCTTTTTGAAGTGCTGCTGGGTTCGGTTTGCCAGTATTTTATTGAGGATTTTTGCATCAATGTTCATCAGGAGTATTGGTCGAAAATTCTCCTTTTTTCTTGTGTGTCCACCAGGCTTTGGTATTAGGATGATGCAGGCCTCATAAAATCAGTTAGGGAGGATTCCCTCTTTTTCTATTGATTGGAATAGTTTCAGAAAGAATAGTACCAGCTACTCTTTTTACCTCTGGTAAAATTCAGCTGTGAATCCATCTGGTCCTGGGCCTTTTTTGGTTAGTAGGCTATTAATTATTGCCTCAATTTCAGAGCCTGTTATTGGTCTATTCAGAGATCCAACTTGTTCCTGGTTTAGTCTTGGGAGGGTGTATGTGTCCAGGAATTTATCTATTTATTCTAGATTTTCTAGTTTATTTGTATAGAGGTGTTTATAGTATTCGCTGATGGTAGCTTGTATTTCTGTAAGAGTGGTGGTGATATCCCCCTTATCATTTTTTATTGCCTCTATTTGATTCTTCCCTCTTTTCTTCTTTATTGGTCTGGCTAGCAGTCTATCAATTTTGTTGATCTTTTCAAAAAACCAGCTCCTGGATTCACTGATTTTTTGAAGGGTTTTTTGTGTCTCTATCTCCTTCAGTTCTCCTCTGATCTTAGTTATTTCTTGCCTTCTGCTAACTTTTGAATATGTTTGCTTTTGCTTCTCTAGTTCTTTGAATTATGATGTTAGGGTGTCGATTTTAGATCTTTCCTGCTTTCCCTTGTGGTCATTTAGTGCTTTAAATTTCCCTCTACACACTGCTTTAAATGTGTCCCAGAGATTCTGGTACATTGTGTCTTTGTTCTCATTGTTTTCAAGAACATCTTTATTTCTGCCTTCGTTTCGTTATTTACTCAGTAGTCATTCAGGAGCAGGTTGTTCAGTTTACATATAATTGTGTGGTTTTGAGTGAGTTTCTTAATCCTGAGTTCTAACTTGACTGTACTGTTGTCTGAGAGACAGTTTTTTGTGATTTCTGTTCTTTTACATTTGCTGAGCAGTGCTTTACTTCCCATTATGTGGTCAATTTTAGAATAAGTGTGATGTGATGCTGAGAAGAATGTATATTCTGTTGAGCAATTTATCAAAAAAGAAACACAGCTATCAAAAATACAGAAATATTTAACCTTGTTAATAATAAAGTGGCCAGCCTCGGTGTTTCATTCCTATAATCCCAGTCATTTGCAAGGGTGAGACAAGAGGATCATTGAGGCCGCAAGTTCAAGACCATCCTAGGCAAGTCAGTTTGAGACCAGACTTCATCTCTAGCACACATCAAAAAATGAACCACTCATGGTGGTGCATGCCTGTAGTCCCAGCTCCTCAGGAGGCTGAGGCAGGAGGATTCCTTGAGCCCGGGAGGTTGAGGTGGCAATGAGCCATGATTGTGCCATTGCACTCCAGCCTGGGCAATGCAGCAGGACTCTGTCTAAACAATAAAAATAATGATAAAGAAAAGGATTGGGAAGCCATTTCTTGCTTATTCAATACATAATGTTAAAAGCAATTTCTACTTTTTCTACTTTTTATTACTAAAAAAAGCTGGACCATTCTCATAGCCTGAAATGTTTCTTACCCTCCCTTCTTCTGTCCAAACACTTCTCTGTCGATGATAATGCAAACCGTCATTCCTTTAGGAAGACTTCACCCCAGGTAGTTCCAGATCCCCTTATCTCTGCCTTCCCAGAACTCCTGGTGTCTCCCCAGTTTCCTCCGGGTGGTGAAGTACCCCCATCCTGGGTCTTGGCATGACTGCCTCTGTGAAGGTCTTGTTTCATTTTCCCTTATGGTCCTGTTCCCCTGTGTTGTGTCATAGCACTGGGCAGAGTGGAGACCCATTCACACTGATAGAGAGGGCCCATGGTTCTGGAGATAACCATGTAACCGATCAGAATAGGGCATTGAGGGCTGGGTGTCAGGCATGGGCTGCACTTGGGTGGGCAGGCCCCCTGGAAAGTCACTGGGTTTGGCAAGCTTCCTAGTAACATGTCTCCCTGGGGTCCTCTTGGAACTTCATGCAAAAATGCTGGATGCTAGTTTATTCTGGAGAGTTGGTTCATTCCTCTCATTTGATAGTCAGAGAAACTCATATCACAACTAAAGGTCATAAACTCCAGTTTGTAAACTGAGATAATCTCAGCTGAACGAACTTTCTGACCCTCTGCTTTCCCGCAGCCTCTCGGTGCCCTTGAAGTCATGTCAGTTCAAGCAGCCCCATGAGGCATTACAATGTTTAATTACTTCAGTGATTATTAAACCTTGCCCTGTGTTGACCCCAGGTGAATCACAAGCTGAACTTCTGACAAGGACAAGTTATGATATTCTTTTCAATTACAGAAAAAGTAAGTTAATTGATAGGATTTTTTTGTTTAAAAAAAGTCACTAGTTTTAAAGGTAATTTGTGCATATGGTAAACATTAAGAAGGTATACCAGGATAATGCTTTTATACTACTAAGAATAATGTTTTATCTAACTTTTTTTGGTAGATGCTTTCATCAGATGAAGAAAATTCCCTGCTATTAGTTGTTGAAGGCTTTTTATATCATAAATGGGAGTTGAATATAATCATGTTATTAATATATTATTACTGAACTATCAAAGGCTCTTCCTAAAACAATTGAGATGATCTTATAATTGTTCTCCTTTAATCTGTTGATGAAATCATTGGTATTTATACTTTGTTAACTATTCTTGAGCCTCAGGTTTAAATTCAACTTGGTCATGCTGTATCATCTTTGAACACTGCTGTCTCTGACTTGGTACTATTTTGTTCAGGATTTTTGCGCTGATGCTCATGAATGAGACTGGCATGCCATCTTCCTTTGTGGTCCTGATTTTTTTCTGATTTGGATCATGTGGCCCTCATGGAATGAGTTGGGCATGATGCCTTCTTTTTCATGTCTCTGGATAGATGGGACACTTTGGAGTCTCTCCAGATGGCCCTCAATGGTCCCTGCCTCCTCATTGTTAGGCCCCTGGGCAGCCCCTTCTCATTTCTGGTAGGCCCAGGAACCTGTGAGTTTTATGTTTGTTTGTTTGTTTGTTTGTTTGTTTTTGAGTTGGAGTCTTGCTGTGTCACCCAGGCTGGAGTTGGGGTGCAAAGGCCTGATCTCCGCCTGGGTGTGGCAGTGAGGTGAACACAAAGGGATGTTCTTCAGAGATTACAGTTCAGCCCTGGAGCAACAACTAGGAGACTGTTTCAGCTAGTGAGGATAGGACTGTGTGGGGTTCTATCCTCTTTATAATTTCCACTAGCACTGAAATCATGGTAGCATCCAACCAGAACCTTCTTTTGTCGTATTTGGGATAGAAGGGACTAGTTGTCTTCAAATTATTGATAGAGATTTTATATAATATAGTGTTTCTCTCCATATTTTATGAATATAACAAAAGTCTTGTGTGTGTATATGTGTACATATACATTTGTATTGTATATATGTGTATATATATGTGTGTGTGTATATATATGTATATATGTGTATATATCCATGTGTACATATATACACACACATATATACAATACAAATCCTGCTTAGTAGCTGTTTTTGTTTGTATATATAACAGAAAGAATTACGAAGCAGGACTTTGACCAATAGTCCTTGTGTGGCACAGAGAATTTGCTTTTAATATCTCTTTTCACTTTCTTGGTTACAGACGTGTGATCTCTTTTTTGAAAGGTGACAATCACTTTGTCATATTTTATCTGATGCTAATGCTCATAGCCTATTAGTCACGTTTGTTTCCATGAGAAAGAAAAACCACTAGACGGTTATGCTAAGGATTTCTGTCCCTGGAGTAAGAACCGTCCCAAATGTCTCCCACTTTCATAACTCCTCCACACATCTCAGTGGGCCATTGAGCACATCAATGGGCATGACAGTTATTAAAACACTTTATGAATGGTATGATCCTTTACCAGTATGAGTTATTCTCTGGAGCTTCTAACATGTCAATAGTACTGCGTGGACTGAGTTAAAAGTTAATTCAAAATCTCAGTTTATCCAAATCTGTTTCTTTCTTACCAGGCACCACCCACCTATGATACTGTGCTACAGATGGAGTATCTCGACATGGTGGTGAATGAAACGCTCAGATTATTCCCAGTTGCTATGAGACTTGAGAGGGTCTGCAAAAAAGATGTTGAAATCAATGGGATGTTCATTCCCAAAGGGGTGGTGGTGATGATTCCAACCTATGTTCTTCATCATGACCCAAAGCACTGGACAGAGCCTGAGAAGTTCCTCCCTGAAAGGTACAAGGCCACTGGGAAAGCAGTCCTCCCTGAACCAGCCTGGTTCAAGTATATTCTGCCTCTCTTAATCTACAGGACAGTCGTGGTCTTGTACAATCATTTGCTTGTCTTTTTATTTTTAAAAGTTTTTTTTTTCATGAAATTGATCATTGTCACACTTTACAAACCATAGACTAGATAAAAGAAAACTACAGCCACCCACAGTCCCAAAAACTTAAAATGAAGGTCATCAGTTATGTCCTTATGGGTCATAACTGTTCAAAATATAAGGACTCTTTTAAAAACACATGGTCACAATGCTATTATTATGTCCCAGAAATGAATATTTTTTCTTAATATAATCAAATATTTAGGAGTCAAGTTTGAATAAAAAACATTGGTCTAATCTTCAAAGAATTTATAGCTTAGTGGAACAGATAGACAAAGCAGTGATGATATACTGCTTTGCACTGGTACAGTAGCATCATACACCCTTGTAAATTATCTGACTTTAACTATTCTATGGAGGTGTGGGGGAGAAAGAGGGAGAGATGGAGAGAAGAAGAAGGAGCAGAAGGAGGAGAGAAGGAGGGATAAGACAAGGTAGGGAGGAGAAGGAGGAGAATTACAAAAACAAGAGAGGAGATGAGAAGGAAAGTGCAAAATAACAATTTTGAAATAGTGCAAGGCAATTTCTTCTTCTCCTTCCTCATGACCAACATAAGTGTGACTTGAGGCAGGAATCTACTTTCCATCAGTCTCATCACTTATGTGCCTTTATAGTGTGAACACATAACCACCTTGAATATAATCTGAGTGTTTAGAAATACATATTCTTTGCAACATTATTTATCTCCTCTCAACAAGACTGAAACCTCCTATAGTGTAACGAGAGGAGAAAGGATCTGTAGCTTACAATTCTCATAGTAAAATAAGCATAGCAGGATTTCAATGACCAGTTCACAAAAGTATCCTGCGTACTGCTAGTAGAGGAGTGGGCCCTAAGTAAGAAACCCTAACATGTAACTCTTAGGGGTATTATGTCATTAACTTTTTAAAAATCTACCAATATGGAACCAGGTTCAGTAAGAAGAACAAGGACAATATAGATCCTTACATATATACACCCTTTGGAGGTGGACCCAGGAACTGCATTGGCATGAGGTTTGCTCTCCTGAACATGAAACTTGCTCTAACCAGGGTCCTTCAGAACTTCTCCTTCAAACCTTGTAAAGAAACACAGGTCAGTCAATTTTCTGCATAAATAATGTTTTATTAAGAATTATTTTAACTGAAGGGTCTATATATTTAAAAAAGAACACAGTCATTTAATCTTCTACTAATTTGTTCTGCAGGCCAAGGAATCTATTTGGGCCCATCTGTGATCTTTAAGGGTGCTTCAGTTCTGGCGTTAAAAAGCTTTAGCATTAAAAACATCATGTAACATCAATGTAGATTAGCATGGCATGACTATCTGCAGTCTCCTTGAATTTGAGCAAAGTTTAAATTCAGTTTCCAGTCAATTGGAAAGATGGGGAAGTATTTTGCACAATCATGAAGTGCAATTACTATCTCGTTTTGACTTTTGAATGGTGCTATTCCTTCCCAGAAATTGTAGAAGCTTTCTCATGACAGTGGCTCCCAACCACTAGCTGTACATTGGAATCACCAGTGAGCTTTAAAAATTCACGATGCCTGGGACATCTCAGAAATTCTAAACTAATTTGCCCAGAGTGTGGCTTTAAAAGCTCCCCAATTGCTTCTCATGTGAAGCCAAGGTGGAAAATGACTAAGGTATTTCTACTGGATATGAAGGACTACCATGGTCCAAGGCCATCCTTACTGACCTTACCTTCCAGTTGCCTAGCTCTATCCAACTGGGCTCCTTTTCAACCCAATTATAACTCTATTAGTCTTCTTCCCTTTCTTCCCCTCATTCTGTTCTTATCTTTCAAGATCTAGTTCAATTCTCAAGCTCTCCAAGGTGTCTTCTCGACCTAGCCCAGGGCTGATTTACTCCTCTGCTCTGTTATTGGTTACTGGAGACTATTATTACATAATTTCATAATTTGCCATTAAATCATTGAGTTTTGTTCTCTGTATTTTCTCTGTGTCTAAGAATGTATTCCCCTTATCCATTAACAATATCCTGTCATTTTGTTCCTTTTAAAATATCCCAGTGGTGTCTTGCAAGCGGCGTAATCTAATTCAAGCATTTGGTCATTTGGTGAATGTTTAAGGAGTGATGTGCAGTTGATTGGCTTGCATACAAATATTAAGTTTTTTAATGTGAACATTTAACAAATGACATTCATGTATTTACATGTGTGTTTGTGCTTGCACATGTGCATGTGCCTGTCTGTCTGCAGGGAAAATATATTCATGCCTTTTGAAAAGTTTTAAATAATAAGATATTATATTTATTAAAAGATTTGGAATCTTTTCTCTGAAGAAATTAAAGAACAGACGTCATTTATTCATATTAAGCAAGACCCTATAAATCTTATTTCTAGGTCTCATGTATTTATTAAGCAATTCCACCCCTTAAGCAGGCTTTCTACATAGGAGAGGAAAAAGATAGAGATGATTTCCATATTACTTCCATATTCCACATTATTTGTGGCTTTAGGCCAGCTATGTAGCTATCCTGCATGTGTGCTCAGACAGGGGACGCAGCCCTGAGAGAAAGTAGTCCTCTGGCACACCTGGGATGGGAAAGGTACTCACTTGTAAGTTCCAAGCTGGCACTTCTTGATCTCCATGGCAATTTTCTTGCCCATCACTCCATGGAGATCAGAATATCACTCTGCTGTGTTCCCTCAACACTGAAGCAGTGTCTGTCTCCATAAGAATGGGGTTAAAAGTTTAGTCAAAACACTGTAGGAATTGAGAAGTTCCCCACTTGCACTACCCTTGGAAACCAAAAGAAAATGTTAAAAAATAAAACGATGATGCTTCCTGAAGGCGTCTTCCCATCTTTACACTAGATGGGTTCAACTGGGAGGAATTACTGGACTCTGGAAGTTGAAGACTGTCCATATAGTTAAAATGTACAACAACTACTCAGGATTATCTTGCAAGTTTCAACATACACAAAATTAACTTTATATGACTCTTCAAAAATAGTTTGCCATCATGCCTAATAATCTGGTTTAAATTTTTAAAACTCATCGATTTTACTTAACATTTAAATCAAAACGAACATGGATTCCCATGAATTTGTCTGAGGTCAGGCATTGCACAGAATAGGTGCTCCATAAATATTTTGTTAAATGATAGATGATGAATGCTCTCACTATACAATCTTCACACATCTTATTGAGTAAGTATAAAGAATCCAAGATTTATAATACTGAAAGTAGTTTTTATATGTTTACAAAGCATTATTGTCATTAATACATTTTTTTTTTTACTTTGATGCTATACTTTCTACTTTTGCTTTATTTAATGCTACTCAATATGCTTATTTAACTGTTTCAGATCCCCCTGAAATTACGCTTTGGAGGAATTTTTCAACCAGAAAAACCCATTGTTCTAATGGCTGAGTCAAGGAATGGGACTGTAAGTGGAGCCTGATTTCCCTAAGGACTTCTGCTTTGCTCTTCAAGAAAGCTGTGCCCCAGAACCCCAGAGACCTCAAATTACTTTGTGAATAGAACCCTGAAATGAAGATGGGCTTCATCCAATGTATTGCATAAATAACCAGGGATTCTCTGCATGTATTGTGCTCTCTCATGGTCTGTATAGAGTGTTATACTTGGTAATATAAAGGAGATGACTAAATCAGTGCTGGGGAAGTAGATTTGGCTTCTCTGCTTCTCATAGGACTATCTCCACCACCCCCAGTTAGCACCATTAACTCCTCCTGAGCTCTGATAACAGAATAAACATTTCTCAATAATTTCATCCACAATCATTAATGAAAATAAGAATTATTTTGATGGCTCTAACAGTGGCATTTATATCACATGTTATATCTGGAGTATTCTATAGTAAGTTTTATATTAAGCTAATCAATAAAAACCTCTTTACAAGAGTATTATCGTATGCTTTCCTGCACATTAAGGAGAAATCTATAGAACTGAATGACTGAGAACCAACAAGTAAATATTTTGATCATTGTAATCACTGTTGATGTGGGGCCTTTGTCAGAACTCCAATTTGATTATTAACATAGGTGAGAGTTAATCCACTATGACTTTACCCATTGTTTAGAAAGAATATTCATAGTTTAATTATGACATTTTTGACCAAGCACAGTGGCTAATACCTGTAATCCCTGCACTTTGGGAGGTCAAGGTGGGTAGATCACCTGAGGCCAGGAGTTCAACACCAGCCTGACCAACATGGTGAAGCCCCATTTTTACTAAAAATACAAAAATTAGCTAGGTGTGGTGGCATGCGCCTGTAATCTCAGCTACCTAGGAAGCTGAGGCAGGGGAATTGCTTGAACCTGCAGTGAGCCGAGATCACAGCACCGCACTCCAGCCAAGGCAACAGAATGAGACTGCATCTCAAAAAAAAAATTATGCCTTTTTGTAGCACATATATTTAAATGAACTAAATATCTAGGAATTAGCTTAATCAAAGAAGAGGGTGATGTCTACAATGAATACTGTAAAACACTGATGAAGGAAAATGAAGAAGACACAAAAACAGAAGGACATTCCATGTCTACATATTGTAAGAATCGATATAGTTAAAACTGTCCACACTACTCAAAGCAATGTACACATTCAATGCAATCTCTCAAAATACCAATGACTTTCTTCAAAGACATAGAAGAAAAAAATCCTAAAATTTCTATAGAACCATAAAAGACCCAGAACAGCTAAAACTGTCTTCAGCAAAAAGAACAAAACTGGAGAAATCATATTACCTGACTTCAAATTATACTACAGAGGTATAGTAACCAACACAGCATGGACCTTGTATAAAAGCAGACACATTGACCAATGAAATAGAATAGACCACCCAGAAACAAATCCACACACCAATAGTGAACTCATTTTCAATATTATCGTCAAGAACATACACTGGGGAAAAGATAGTCCCTTTTGGAGCTGGGAAAGCTGGATATCAATATGCAGAAGAATGAAACTATATCTCATTATTTATATATATATAGATATATAGATATAGGTGAGACCCCTATATCTCACCAGACACAAAAATCAAATCAAGGTGGATTAAAGACTGAAATCTGGCTGAGCGCGGTGGCTCATGCCTGTAATCCCAGCACTTTGAGTGGCAGAGGCGGGCAGATCACTTGAGGTCAGGAGTTCAAGACCAGCCTGACCAAAAAGGTGAAACCCCATCTATACCAAAAAACACAAAAGTTAGCTGGGCATAGTGGGGCATGCCTCTAGTTCCAGTTACTCAGGAGGCTGAGGTGGGAGAATCACTTGGACCCAGGAGGCAGAGGTTGCAGTGAGCCAAGGTCATGCCAATGCACCCCAGCCTGGGCAAGAGAGTGAGACTCTGTCACAAAAAAATAAAAAGGTGGGGGATCAGTTCCAAGATGGCTGAATAGGAACAGCTCCAGGCTACAGCTCCCAGAGTGAGTGACACAGAAGATGGGTGATTTCTGCATTTCCAACTGAGGTACCGGGTTCATCCATTGGGGCATGTCAGACAGTGGGTGCAGGACAGTGGGTGCAGCCCACCGAGCCAGAGCCAAAGCAGGGCAGGGCATCGCCTCAGCCAGGAAGTGCAAGGGGTAAGGGAATTCCCTTTCATAGCCAAGGGAAACCGTGACACACAGCACCTGGAAAATCGGGTCACTCCCACCCTAATACTGTGCTTTTCCAGGGGTCTTAGCAAACAGCACACCAGGAGATTATATCCTGTGCCTGACTCAGAGGGCTCTACACCCACGGAGCCTCCCTCATTGCTAGTGTGTCCGGAATTGGTGGGTTCTTTGTCTTACAGACTTCAAGAATGAAGCTGCGGACCCTCAGGGTGAATGTTACAGTTCTTAAAGATGGTGTGTCCGGAGTTCGTTCCTTCAGACATTCAGATGCTTCTGGAGCTTCTTCCTTCTGGTAGGTTCATAGTCTTGCTGTCAGGAGTGAAGCTGCAGACCTTTGTGGTGAGTGTTACAGCTCATAAAGGCAGCGTGGCCCCAAAGAGTGAGCATCAGCAAGATTTATTGCAAAGAGCGAAAGAATAAAATTCCCACGGTGTAGAAGGGGACCCTAGCGGGTTGCCTCGTTGGCTGGCTGGGGCAGCCTGCTTTTCTTCCCTTATCTGGTCCCACCCGCATCCTGCTGATTGGTCTGTTTTACAGAGAGTTGATTGGTCCATTTTGACAGAGTGCTGTTGGTGCGCTTACAATCCTTGAGCTAGACACAGAGTCACAGAGTGCTAGTTAGCTAGATACAGAGTTAGTTAGATACAAAGTACCAGTTGGTGTATTTACAAACCTTGGGCTAGACACAGAGTACTGATTGGTATATTTACAAACCCTGAGCTAGACACAGAGTGCTGATTGGTGCCTTTACAATCCTTGAGCTAGACACAGAGTCACAGAGTGCTAGTCCTCCAAGTCCCCACTAGGTTAGTTAGATACATACTCACAAACCTTGAGCTAGACACAGAATACTGATTGGTGTATTTACAAACCCTGAGCTGGACACAGAGTGCTGATTGGTGCACATACAGATCCTCCGGCTAGATACAAAAGTTCTCCAAGTCCTCATCCAGTTCAGGAGCCCAACTGGCTTCACACAGTGGATCCTGCACCAGGCCTGCAGGCGGAGCTGCCCACCAGTCCCTAGAGCACCTGCACTCCTCAGCCTTTGGGCTGTCCATGGGACCGGGCGCCACGGAGCAAGGGGTGGCGCCCTGGAGGAGGCTCAGGCTGTCCGGGAGCCTACCGCAGAGGGGGGAGCTCAGACATGGCGGGCTTTAGGTCCCCAGCCCTGCCCCCAGGGAAGCAACTAAGGCCCGGCGAGAATTTGAGTGCAGGGCCAGCTGGCCGGCACTGCTGGGGGACCCAGCACAACCCCCAGAGCTGCTGGCCTGGATGCTAAGCCCCTCACTGCCCTGGGCCTGCGGTGCCAGCTGGCCTCTCCGTGCATCAGGCCAGCTGCACCCGTGGGGCCAGCCGCACCCATGCCAACCTCCTGAAACTCACACCGGCCTGCCAGCGCAGCCTTGGTTCCCACTGGTGCCTCTCCCTCCACACCTCCACACAAGTAGCAGGAGGAGGCTCCGGCCTCAGCCAGCTCAGAGAGGGGCTCCCATGGTGCCGTGATGGGCTGAAGGGCTCCTCAAGTGTGACCAGAGTGCAAGCCGAGGCCGGAGACGCTGAGAGTGAGGGCTGCTAGCATGTTGTCACCTCTCACTAGCACAGCAGTCTGAGATCTACCTGCAAGGTGGCAGCAAGGCTGGGGGAGGGGCGTCTGCCATTGCTGAGGCTTGAGTAGGTAAACAAAGCCTCCAGGAAGCTCAAACTGGGTGGAGCCCACCGCAGATCAAGGAGGCCTGCCTGCCTCTATAGACTCCACCTCTGGAGACAGGGCATAGCCAAAGAAAAGGCAGCAGAAACCTCTGCAGATTTAAATGTCCCTGTCTGACAGCTTTGAAGAGAGTAGTGGTTCTCCCAGCATGGAGTTTGAGATCTGAGAACGGACAGACTGTCTCCTCAAGTGGGTCCCTGACCCCAAGTAGCCTAACTGGGAGGCATCCCTCAGTAGGGGCAGACTGACACCTCACACGGTGGGGTACCCCTCTGAGACAAAGCTTCCAGAGAAGGATCAGACAGCAACATTTGCTGTTCAGCAATATTCACTCTTCTACAGCCTCCACAGCTGATATCCAGGCAAACAGGGTCTGGAGTGGATCTCCAGCAAACTCCAACAGACCTGCAGCTGAGTGTCCTGACTGTTAGAAGGAAAACTAACAAACAAAAAGTTCCTCCACACCAAAATCCCATCTGTACGTCACCATAATCAAAGACCAAAGGTAGATAAAACCACAAAGATGTAGAAAAAACAGAGCAGAAAAGCTGAAAATTCTAAAAATCAGAGCGTCTCTCCCCCTCCAAAGGAATGCATCTCGTCACCAGCAACATAACAAAGCTGGATGGAGAATGACTTTGACGAGTTGAGAGAAGAAGGCTTCAGATAATCAGACTTCTCCGAGCTAAAGGAGGAAGTTCAAACCCATCACAAAGAAGCTAAAAACATTGAAAAAAGATTAGACAAATGGCTAACTAGAATAACTTATGTAGAGAAGTCCTGAAATGACTGATAGAGGTGAAAACCATGGCACGAGAACTGTGTGGTGAATGCACAAGCTTCAGTAACTGATTTGATCAACTGGAAGAAAGGGTATCAGTGACTGAAGATCAAATGAATGAAACAAAGTGTGAAGAGAAGTTTAGAGAAAAAAGAGTAAAAAGAAATGAACAAACCCTCCAAGAAATATGGGACTATGTAAAAAGACCAAATCTATGTCTGATTGGTGTACCTGAAAGTGACAGGGAGAATGGAACCAAGTTGGAAGACACTCTGCAGGGCATTATCCAGGAGAACTTCCCCAACCTAGAAAGGCAGGCCAATGTTCAAATTCAGGAAACACAGAGAATGTCACAAGATGCTCCTCGAGAAGAGTGACTCCAAGACACATAATTGTCAGATTCATCAAAGTTGAAATGAAGGAAAAAGTGTTAAGGGCAGCCAGAGAGAAAGGTCGGGTTACCCACAAAGGGAAGCACATCAGACTAACAGTGGATCTCTTGGCAGAAACTCTGCAAGCCAGAAGAGAGTGGGGGCCAATATTCAACATCCTTAAAGAAAAGAATTTTCAACCTAGAATTTCATATTCAGTCAAATTAAGCTTCATAAGTGAAGGAGAAATAAAATGCTTTACAGATAAGCAAATGCTGAGAGACTTTGTCACCACCAGGCCTGCCCTACAAGAGCTCCTGGAGGAAGTATGAAACGTGGAAAGGAACAACCGGTACTAGTCACTGCAAAAACATGCCAAAATGTAAAGACCATCGATGCTAGGAAGAAACTGCATCAACTA